CCTAGGGGTAAGGCCATAAGTCGGAAAATGGGATCCTGATACTGAAGTCAGGAAAGAGTGGTTGAGAGATGCAGTTATTTATGCATACCTGCCAAGTCTCCTATTTTTTTAAAGCAGACTCCTGTATTTTAAGTCTCCTGTTTATCTGTATATTCTCTAATTTCTCCGCATTGGTTAAAGAAATTTAAAAAGAAAGAAAATTGATGATCCACCGACGGCAGAAACACTTCTCTTATACCTCAACAGATTGTGCCCTACTGTACAGTATTTTCAGAGTTAATGGTCTAAGTTGAGCCGTGATGGCAGGGGTCTGTCCAGACATTTTGTGAAAGGTCCGTTTTTGTAAAATTGTGAAAAAAATTACTCGTAATTTCTGAATATGAAATAAATGTTGAGTCACATTCTTTCAACCAGGGTCCGCTTTTGTGAATTTGTACAAACAGGGTCCGCTATATCAAAAATACTTTTTCAAGGAGTTTTTAAAATTGTAAAGACATACAAGATTGTGCTCAACACTAAAATTATAATTAAAAAAATTAAATGTTAAAAAATAAACAGCAATTGCAGCTACTAAATTAGATGCAACAAATATTTGGTATTTAGCCTATACTGCTGAACGCAGAATATTCATTTCGGACGAATAAAGGAAGAAGCGTCTGCCGAAAACAAAATTTAGTATGTTTACATCTGCCTTCCTCTCCCCCCCCCTTCCTGAGAAGGGTTTATTTGATTAACAAAACAATGCAGATAAACATATTTGTGAAGGGTCCGATTAAAAGATAAATTATTTTGCGAAGGGTCCGTTTTTATGAAACGATGGGATAGAGCGTTTGCCTTCCAATTTGGGTTCGAATCTCAGCGATGACTGGTCGATATGAATTCCGCAACCGGTTACCACCGACCACAGTGATGACATGAAATATCCTCAGTGGTAGACCAGGGGTCTGTCCAGACATTTTGTGAAAGGTCCGTATTTCGTGAAATTGTTAAAAAATTACTCACATTCTTTCAAGCAGGGTCCGCTTTTATGAATTTGTGCAAATAGGGTCCGTTATTGCAAAAAAAAACTTTTTCAAAGAGTTTTTAAATTGTAAAGAAGTACAAGAATATGCTCAACAATGCAAAATTATAATTAAAAAAATTAAATTTCGAAAAATGAACAACAATTGCTGCTTCTAAATTAGAGATGCAACATACAAATATTTAGTATTTAGCATATAATGCTGAACGCATAATATTCATTTCGGACGAATAATGGAAGAATCGTCGGTCGAAGACAAAACTTAACTTTCGTTTTCTGCCCAGTAAAGGGTTTATTCGATTAATAAAATAATAATGAAGATAAACAAATTTGTGAAGGGNTTCGCGAAGGGTCCGTTTTTATGAAACGATGGGATAGAGCGCTCGCCTTCCAATTTGGGTTCGAATATCAGCGATGACTGGTCGATATGAATTCCGCAANAAATATTTTGTGAAGGGTCCGTTTTTATGAAAAGATATTTTGTGAAGGGTCCGTTAACGGACCCAAATTTCCTCTAAACAGACCCCTGTAGACGGATCACGGGTTATCGTCAAGAGTCTTCTTATCGTCAAGCTAACATTGTGAGGTTTTCCTCTCCATGTATCTCAGATGCGGTTTAGTTCAATAAAAAAAAAAAGTCCTAAACGAAGCAAATTTCTTCCAATACTTGCGGATAATGACGGATCGGGGATATTTCCGTATCGTGATCTCTCGCGCCAACTGCAATTGCCAAGTATATTTTAAGCTTTCAAATTTCTTTTTAAAAAAATATGTATATGTTTGCACGGGGGTGGGTACGACCTATTCTTTTCGAGTTCGCCCCTTTCTGTGAATTGTTTTTTAAGTTTCTCGCGGGTCGCTGCCCGGAAGTTGCCAAGACTTGGCGATTATTCTGCCACAGATCAAGATAAGGAAATCTCCCCTCTCGCTTGCCCCAACCACAGAGCTGACGTTCAATATCCTCAGTTTTAGACAGATCGTGGGTTAAGAGTCAGCTTGCCGTCAGGCTAACCATGGGAGGTTTTCGTGGTTTTTCTCCCAATGTAACGTAAATGCGGTTTAGTATCATGAAAAAGTTTTGCCAGTACTTGATTCAGGAGTTCCCTTGTCTTCTAGAATGGGATCAAAATTACGAGGCTGCGGAGTTGAACATCAATAGTCTTAAACCGAAAAATGTGTAGATTAGTAAAATGTCCGTTATTTTATTTCTCCAACATTCGAAGGTATGACAAAGGCAGGGTCGGGTTTTTGACGTCAAAAAGTGGTTTTTGACATGACAAGAGTATAATACTGGTTTAAACCGTCAAAAACTGAAGTTCGCCAAGAAAATATATAAACTACAAAATTACCAACAGTTGCCATGCATTGCATTGAAATTTAATTATACTATAGGTAATCAGCAGGTTTTAAAATATTTTTTAATTAAAATTAAGGTAAAATAACAGATTTAAAATCTCAGAAATTTATAGTCAAACGCATGTGCAGAAAAATTTTGCACAAAAATTGTTTAAATAATTATATTTTGAAAAAAAAAAATTTTTTTTTTTTGATATTTAAGAAAATTAAAAGTTTATTACTATGCATTTTTGACATATAAGGAACATATAACTAATATTTATAAGGAACTTACAAGTTATGTTGTATAAATACAAACTTGATGCAATTGTATAAAAAAATTTTTTTTAATGTTATATTCTAAAAGACTTGTCTGAAGCAGCGTCCTGTGAATTACGAAAATACGAGCTGTCTGTCTGCCGGGTAAAAATGCGGAAAATCTTATCATCTGTGCGTAAAAGCGGAGAAAATAGCTAAAATAAGTAAAAATGCGGAAAGGGTTGGTAGCTTTGTAGTTTGAATTTTCTGTTTACCTTTGAAAATCGGAAATAAAAATAATTATTATATTTCAGTGGCTGAATTTTCAGAAAAAGCGGAATATTTATTTTTTAAAAAAAGCGAAATTTTAAGAGAATCGGAGTTTTTGATAAGAAAGGCAGAAATTCGAGAGACAAAAGTGAAAAAAAAGCGGAAATCCGCTAAAAAGCGGGAAAATCTCATCCCTGATATTCTCAATGCATGCTGAAAAACAATTGATTTCGGGTGAGGAATCTAACCGAAGGAATGATGAGCCACAAGGTCAAGTGAAGATGATGTACTAGCGAAGGTGGTGTACTCGGAAAAGGTTTGATTCGACAGTTTTTCTTTTTCTTTTTACTGAGAGGCTCAAAGAAAGACTAAAAAGTTTGAATCCCAGAAAGTCGGGGGGAGATTTATTTTTAGCTGGGATAGCCTTTAGATTAAAATAAATAAACAAATAAACAACTTACTTCTGGGCCGGACAGGAGGAGGAGTTGCAGGTGACACTGGAACTGGTTCCGGAACAGGTTCCGGAACTGATTCAGAATCAGAACCTGATTCAGAATCACATTCAGGACCTGATTCAGAATCAGATTCAGAACCTGATTCAGAATCAGATTCAGAACCTGATTCAGAACCAGATTCAGAACCTGATTCAGAACCAGATTCAGAACCTGATTCAGAACCAGATTCAGAACCTGATTCAGAATCAGATTCAGAACCAGATTCCGAATCTGATCCAGAAGCTGAATCCGAAGTTGAATCAGAAGCTGACTCAGAACCCGAATCGGAACCTGAATCGGAACCAGAATCCGAGTCATCCTCCTCCGACGAGTCCAGAAAGCCGAACACCTCCAGCCGACGTTGACGCAGCTAAAAATAAATGAAACACATTATTGCGTCTTGTATTCTATACGCATATATAAAGAATGGGGAATATATTTAGGGGAAAAAATGAAGGGATGCATAGTAAGATTTTTCAACAAAAAATAAACACATTTAGTCATCAAAATCGAAAAACTGCACTATTTTCCAGTTAAGATTTCACATTAAACATAACTTGAAATATTATGTATTATGTTTACTCATAATTTCGAATATTATAGGAATTTAATTCCTCAAACATAGTTAAAAATATTTTTTTAATTAATTTAAAATGAGAGCTGTGAACTGAACATTTCAGAATTAAAAATATTTTGAACAGATTTCTGTAATTAAGATTCGTTTCAGTATGTCTTAATAATACTTATTTATTATTCTAGTAAGCAAGCATTAATCTGTTCAAAAATTCTATTTCAATAGAGATATTGTTTTAGGAAACTTACTCAATTGTAGGTAGTTTACTAAAATGTACAAAAATCAGGAGAAATTTAAATAAAACAGTAGACCAGGAGAAACTGGCAAAATCCAGTAGTCTACTAGAAAACCCAGTAGAATTGGCAGCTATTTAAGCATTTTTTAAGCCTTTAAAAAATATTTTTAATCATTTTCCAGAAAGAAAAAAAAACACTATTACGATCTGTGCAATAAAAATTATTTTTTCTAACCTTTAAAGTTCTTAATTTATAAACATTAAGTCAATAAAATTTAAAAAAACTTCATGATACATAATCATGATAAAATAACAAGTTTCTGATAAATATTGCAAAGAAAATTGTGAAAAATCATGCTTTTTTTTCGTGTGATTTAGAACGCCAATCGATACGGCAAGGAAAATATCTCTTTAAAAGATAAAAAATTAATCCCTTTTTTGCTAACCCAGAATAAAAAAAAAAGCACCTTTAAGGGCTTTTGAGAAACGTAAATAAAAAATAAACACTTTTTAAAAACGCCAAGCAACTTGCTAAAGAGCGAAACAGGAGTCGAAACACTTTTGGAAGCATTTTGTTACTACAAGGTGCGTAACCAAATTTTTCAACAGAAAATAAGCACCTTTTAAGCAATTTATAAAAAATATATAATTAGGCAGGATCGGCAAATTTTGACACTTGACGGTTTTAACCGTCATGTGAAAAAAAAAACCTTTTGACACAGTTTTTGAAAATTGTCAAAAACCCAAAATTTTGGCGTAAGAATTATTATTAGCTATTATAAAATATGAAGTAATTTTAAATTAACATGTATGTAAAATTACAAGTGTTTCAACAATTACGTTTTTGAATTATTTTAACATAAAACTCTTTATTCTGAAAATTACTGCTAAAAACCCAAATTTTGGTGTAGAAAATATTAAATAATTACAAATAAAAATGTGTGAAATTACAATTTATCCCCTTTATTAATTTGTTTAATTATTGGAGATAAAAATACAAAAACAATTATCTTATAAGAAAACACTTAACAATCATATAATTAATTCTTTATATAATCTAATTCTAATATAATATCATATAATTCTCTATACATAAAATCAGTTTGCATTAATTTCAATTTTAACTCTTTTCCACAAAGCAAATAATTTTTAAAAAAAACATAGTTTTAAATCCCTCTGTTCAACAAATTAATTTTTCAGTTTTGTAAGAATAAGACCAAAATTTCGAAACTGCTCTTAAAATGTGTTTCAATGCAGTTTTACATAATTCGTGGTGAAAGTCAACATGGAAAAGAAAAAAAATCTCGTTTTGGAAGAGGGAAAATTAAGCACTTTTTAAAAACACTTAATAAAAAAAGCACATTTAAGGGCTTTTAAAAAACGAGAATCGAAAAAAGCACCTTTAAGCACTTCTTAAAAACGCTACGCCCCCTGTACTACAATGTTTCCCAAACTTACGACTTTTGTGTACCCTTTCCTAAATTTTTCGTAACGCTATGTACCACTAATAAAAAAAAAAATGAATGAATTTTTTTTCTATCAAAATTTTTTACAAAAGTTAAAAATCCCAAATGGCTGTTGACACCACTAATTATTGACTGTTGCAAAAAAATAGCCAATAGAAAAATACGCAATAGTACATTTTCATGGCTAGCTTTGTTTTTAAATAAATTTTTTTGAAAGTTTCGTTTGTTATCGCATAAAAACACGTACTCCTGGGGGTACGCGTAGCACACTTTGGGAAGCACTGCCGTACCAGTTAAGACATTTCATTGAAAATAAATTTAGCATGTCGAGTTCATCTCAGGATATATAGTGAAACTGGTGTATTATATAGTAATATAGTATATAGTACTGGTATATAAAACTGGTGTATTCGAGAAGGTATTGTTATTACTTACGGCTTTTGCCTCTGCCCTCCTCTTTCTCGACGCAGCCATGCGCCTCCTTTTCCCTGACGATGATTCCTAAAGATAAAGAAATATTTTTATTAATAATCAAGAGAAAAAAGTATTGAATTCAAGTACTTAATAGGATACTGAACAGGGGACTGTTTAGAAGAAATTTGGGTCCGTTAACGGACCCTTCGCAAAATATCTTTTTATAAAAACGGACGCTTCACAAAGTTGTTTATCTTCATTATTGTTTCGTTAATTGATTAAACTCTTCCCAGGGCAGAAAACAAGCAAGATTGATGTAAACAAATTAAGTTTTGACTTCGGCAGACGATTTTTCCATTATTCGTCCGAAATGAATATTTTGCGTTCAGCAGTATAGGCAAAATACCAAATATTTGTCAGTTGCATCACTAATTTAGAAGCACCAATTGCTGTTTATTTTTGAAAATTTAATTTTTTTTATTATATAATTTTACAGTTCTGAGCATAATCTTGTATCTATTTACAATTTAAAAACTCCTCAAAAAAGTCTTATGCAATAACCGGACCCTATTTGCATAACAGCAGGACCCTGCTTGAAAGAATGTGAGTAATTTTTTCACAATTTCACAAAAACCGGACCTTTCACAAAATGTCTGGAGAGACCCCTGCTGAATGCTCAGGGTTCCCACACTATTTTGAGAAAACAATATCCTGACTTTTGCAGATTTTTCCTGACTTTTTACAATAAAATTCCTGACCCGCCGTTTTCCACTCCAACAAAATTTTTAACATTTCAGTTTCAATTATTAATAATATGCTACTTAGTCATAAGTATCATAGATTGAGTAGGATAAACACTTATATATTAAAGTGGAATTGCGTAATAGCACTTTATATCCCAAATTATATTTTCAGAAAACTTGTGAAACATATTTTTAATTATCATGATTAGATTAAACTTTTAGTGTGTTTTTGTAGTTAGATACTAAAACTATTTAAATAAAAAGATCCAAGAAAATCTGTTGGATTATGGAAATATTATTTTATTTAATGTTAAGTGGAACCATGAGTGTCGTTAATCAAATTTGCGAGATATGTATCCTCAAATAATATTTATTCTTAAAACATTTGCTACATTAAGTTATTAATTTTTAAAAATTCAAACTGACTTTTCGTTTAAAAGCTAATATTGAAATGTAAAAGGGAAAAAACTCAATAAAAGTTAATTATATACAAATAAAAATTCAGATAGAAAAATTATGCAACTTGTGAGAAAAATAAAATCAAAAATATTTTTTTTTTCAGTATTTTTAAACTTATTTCTGTAATACTGTAAGCTTCCGGAGAAACTCAGGGGCTCCTATGTTATACAATATTTCTCAACATATTTTGTTGTTTGACAATTTCTGAATCAAGAACATCCAGTTCTGTTGCAGCAGTTTTCGTCAATTTAGATTTTCTTAATTTCAAATTCCTTTCTTTTATTCGTTTTCTAGAAATTTCAGCTTTATTATTCTCCTCGTTTTTTTTTTCTTTTACTTCTAATGCATATCTCCATCTTGTTCTAGATCCTTTTACAGAATCTAGCATTTTTTCATTTATGTCTATGTTTTTTATTCCATTTATAAATGAAACATAATCATACACACGCCTTTGTGAAATAATAGTCTTCAACCAATAAGCTTTTATTGATTGAAAACCCCCTTTCGACTGTTGAGTTACCATGAGAGAGGATAAGAACAATTTTTATAACCTTCCACAAATTTTCAAATTTTTTTTTCTCCGTGCAAATATTTCGAAAAAAATTTATCTAATCTCTTTTGCTGTGGATTAAACTCTAAGAAACTCCTTTGCTCTTTTTTTTATTTTTTTTTTTTTGCAGCATTACAAAACAGTAGGGGTAATTGTGAGCCCAAGTCAAAATTCCGGAAAAATTTCAACAAAAAAAAAACCGTTTCAATTGAAAAATTAAAAAATAATTTAAACAAGTTTTTTTCCTCTTTTCTCAGTATTTCTTAGTTTGATTAAAATATATTTAAAATTTTACGCATACCTATACCATTTACACATACCTATGATGACCTGGAGAAGTAATTAATATTTACAAATATGTCTTTCTTTCTTGAGTTTATGATTATAACAACTATTTACTGATAAAAAATGAATATTAATCATGAATATAAGCTTATTAAGTATCTCTCTGGCTCTCCCTTACAAACAAATAAAATAAACTGTGTTTTTAAGTTCCACCTTTGAAAATTTGATTTCCGGAAGCTTCTGTGATCAATAATTTTTTGAAACGTCTGGACCTTCGATCTCCGGAAACTTCCGGATCACAGTTAGCGAAAAATCCGGATTTTTTCCGGAGCACAATCAGCCCTGNTATTTTAAATTACAGTTGTTGTTAATTTACGTCGCACTAGAGCTGCACAATGGGCTATTGGCGACGGTCTGGGAAACATCCCGGAGGATGATCCGAAGACATGCCATCACAATTTAGATTCTCTGCGGAGGGGATTTAACACAGATTTATAAAGGATGCGGAGGGGATAAATTACAGATTTTTTCCCTGAAACCTTATTTTTGCCTGTCAGTCTTTGAATGAACTATAGTTTTTTTTTATTTTCCTAACTTGATGAATATGTAAGAAAAATCCTGACTTTTTCATGACTTTATAAATATGTAAGAAAAATCCTGACTTTTTAGCTTAATTTTAGAATATCCTGACTTTTGCAGGTTTTCCTGACCGTGTAGGAACCCTGATGCTCCAGATTACAGCTTGGTGACCTGATACGCCAAGTCCGACCATAGTTGAAAAAAAAAAGGCAACTATAACTGCTTTGTCTAGCTAAAGCATCTCTTATCTTCTCTCTCTATATAGAGTCCCTTACCAAATTATTAGACGCACTATAAGTTTTTATGTCAAGTCTTAATTTTCAGGTGATACTCACAGCTTTATTGTTTTTATGAGGCTGAAACCGGTTTGTACTTGTTTACGTTCTTGTATCAATTGGCTAATGTTGTACTGCAATACGTTAAAAATAAATGCAAAAAGGAAGTATATATAAAAAATCAGAAAAAATAGCCATTACATGTATGTTTAAATATAAAAGCATTGCATATAAACTGGTGCAAAACATGTAATTATTAAGAAACAACAGTGAGTTGAATAATTTGGTCTGATTAATATAATATACTAATATAAAACCTGATATAATAAATATTCTAAATTTATATATTAGGGGTGCACAACCTGCGGCCCGCCGACTACTGAAATGCGGCCCGCGAAGGCTTCTAAACACAATAAAAAAATTAAAAAGAATTTTAATCGCACTTTTGAGTCATCACGTTTTGACACGATCAATTTTAACAGATTCTATAGTAAATGTATGTTTAACTCGCTTTCTTTAAGCCAAATTTATTGCAAATATAAATTATTTTCTTAAACAGTTATTTCCGCTTTGCCACGTGATTTCGAAAATCCTGAATTTTTTATTACAAAATTATTACGACACGCAAGTTTCAGATCGGCCTTTTAAATAATAACATTCCGGTGCAATTTTTTTGTGACAATTTCATCTTAAATCTAAGTGATTTTTTATCTTTTTTTTATTCCTTCTTTCTTTTCATATGCTGCTTTTTTTCGGTAGTAAGTGCTATGCATTCCCAAGTACTATAAAAAATTCTAATAATTTTATAATGACATTCGAATTTCAAATCGCGCATTTGACAAGCTTTATTCGTGTTGAGTTCAGCATTAATTTAAGTAATTTTTTTTCAATTATTGCTATACTTTTCAACACGATTTTGACGATCCCGTTATTTAACTACGATGTTATTAAGACACGCGATTTTCTAATCGCACATTTTAATTATCACTTTTTGATGAGGTATTTCGGTACACTTTTAGGTAAATCCTAGATATTTTTCCCTCATTTTTTTCGGTAACGAATATCAATTGGTCGAATGTGGTAATGAATTGTGATTTGGTCAAAAACTAAATATTCAGCAAAGCAAAAAAAAAAATAAATAAATAAAAAAATAAAAAATATATCGATCTAATTCCGTATATTGGGGGCAAAATTATAAAATCTAAAGATTATATACAAAAGCGAGACAGAAAATAAAAATCTATCTTAATTTTCGAAAGAAAATTTTAAAGCTGAACATCTCAGTTTTCCAATTACCATAAAATGTCAAGAAAAAAACAATTAGGTCAAGAGAAATGCTCTTAAAATTGCCACATTATAATAAAAACGTCTATAAAAAGAAGTTGTTTTTCTTCAAAAAATAAATAAATAAATAAAAATAAATAAATAAATAAAAAGCTAGAATGAAACGAAAACCGTTCTTAATTTTTTTAATGAAAATCTTATACTGAAAATCTCCATTCAAAATATTCACGTTGCCATATTCGAAGAAGAAAAAAATTGCAATAAAATAAAAGTTTATTGGTAACGTTCATTAAAAAAAAAATAATAATATGCTGTGTCATAATAAAAATGTCTATAAAACTAAAAGTTAATTAAAAAGAAAAGCAGAAATTTTTTTCTTCTTCAAAACTTTAACACTGAAAATCAATTTTCTGTGTTACTGGTTATTTATATTACAGTACAGGGAAAGGGCAATAATAAATTAATAGTATGGGACGTTCCGTTAAAATGCTGCGTTAGAATAAAAGCAGCAGAAATGGAAGGAAAAAAAATCCTTCTCAATTCTTAGAATTAAAAGTATCGAAAAAATGACGAAATTAATGTCTGATCATAAATTTTTTTTATTTATATAAAAAAAAAAAAAAAAAAAAAAAAAAAAAAAAAAAAAAAAAAAAAAAAAAAAAAAAANAGAAGTACAAAAACTTGTGGTTCAGTATAAAGTAATCTAGGTTTCCAAATTTCGTTTTTCCATTTCTTCACTATATTTTTATATAAAAGTATTAGTATATTTGCAGAACATTAAATACTTTTAAATGCTAGAGTTAATGCAGAAAAATAATTATTTGTTAAAAAAAAAACAAAAAAAAAACACTCTATTAATTTTTCCCTTCACGTAATTTTTTTCTATCATTAATAATTGATTTAGAAAATACATATTATATTGAAAAAGTGATTACTAAAATTCGAAATTGACGCATCATAGTATCGTATTAAAAATTGGGTCCTTTAAAATCACGCAGAGTTTCATAGCAATAACTGTTGAAAAGGTGATTGAGAAACAAAATAGATTTACTATGGAATCTGTGCAAATTGAGCGCATTAAAAAGTGATGACTCAAATTTGCAATTCAATATTTTTTAGGAGCAAAAAAAATCATTATGCTCAAAAGCTACTGCGAGCCGCAGGTTGTCAACCCAATTTATGCTTAAAAAAATTGCTAGACGCACAGAAAAGTCTCTCAATAGTCTCCTTTTAATGAAAATAGTTGCTTTTTAGCCGCCATAACCTCTGGTCGAAAATAGTTGCATTTTAGTCACCTGTGGCAACCCTGATTTTGTGAAGGGTCCGTTAAGGGTTAATTTCTTCTAAGCAGACCCCTGATAGTATATTATTTCTAAAAATATCAATTCTCAGCCTGGTTTCTCAGTAACCTTACGACTCAAAGATATAGATCGAAACAAACAATATGAAAAGTGACTGAATTATATATGAGCTTACCTCGTCGGAATCATCGGAAGGCACACGCTGCCTTTTCCTGGAAGGTGAAGGTAGTCCAGTGGCCGGAATCCTTTAAAAAGACAAAAAATATAAATGTAAAAATTGTGCATGCCAAACAGTTTAATGGGTGACAATACCCATGATGAAGTTACAATAGAACTGTCAATTTTTTAACTAATTAAACATTGCACTCAGATATGCACACATATTATTCTAGGAAAAACTAAACCTGTTAAAATAACTGAACAGCTTTAGACCAAAGATATTCAAGAACAATTAAAACTCTCATTCAGGGTGCGTAGATTTTTCAACAAAAAACAAGCGCCTTTTAAGAACTTTTCAGCACTCAAAAAATATTTTTAATCACTTTCCAAAACAAAAATCTTAATTAAGATCTGTGCTGCAATAAATATTATTTTTATCAATCATTTAAAGTTCTTAAGAACGTAAAATTAAATAAACATTTTCAAAAACTTTGTAAAAATTTGATAAATTAATTAGTTTCTAATAAATATATATTGCGGAGAAAATATTATGAAAACCATGAAATTTTTTTTTTCGTAATTTAGAACGACAATTGACGCAGCAAAGAAAAAAAAAAATCTTTTTAAAAGATAGAAAATCAAGCACTTTTTTCAAACCCCCAATAATACCCATGAAGTTAGAAAGCTACTGTCGATTTTTAATCAGGTTGCGTAGCCAGAATTTTAATCAAAATATAAGCACCTTTTTTTAAGTACTTTTTAAGCACACAAAAAATATTGTAAATCACTTTAAAAAAAAATTAAATAACTAGGGTCTGCGCAGTAATAAAATTTAGATTATTATAAGTTCTTAACTTAGCAACATAAAACCAATAAAATTCAAAAACTTTGCATAACCGTGATAAAAAATATCTAGTTTCTGATAATTATCGCAGAGAAAATTGAGAAAATCATGCATTTTTTTTGTAATTTAGAACGACAATCAACGAGGCAAAGAAAAAAATCTCTTTTTAGAGTCGAGGTAAATTTAAAAGCTAAATGAGAGAAGGTGCGAATAGCATTTTATGCAAAATTGTTTTCGAAGTGACNAGTTCTTAAAAACGTAAAATTAAATAAACATTTTCAAAAACTTTGTAAAAACTTGATAAATTAATTAGTTTCTAATAAATATATATTGCGGAGAAAATATTATGAAAACCATGAAATTTTTTTTTTCGTAATTTGGAACGACAATTGACGCAGCAAAGAAAAAAAAATCTTTTTAAAAGATAGAAAATCAAGCACTTTTTTCAAACCCCCAATAATACCCATGAAGTTACCAAGCTACTGTCGATTTTTAATCAGGTTGCGTAGCCAGAATTTTAAACAAAATATAAGCACCTTTTTTTAAGTACTTTTTAAGCACACAAAAAATATTGTAAATCACTTTCAAAAAAAAATTAAATAACTAGGGTCTGCGCAGTAATAAAATTTATTATTATTAGTTCTTAACTTAGCAACATAAAACCAATAAAATTCAAAAACTTTGCATAATCGTGATAAAAAATAACTAGTTTCTGATAATTATTGCAGAGAAAATCGTGAAAATCATGCATTTTTTTTGTAATTTAGAACGACAATCAACTAGGCAAAGAAAAAAATCTCTTTTTAGAGAATAGAAAATCTAGTATTTTTTTAAAAAAAAAGCTACGCAACCTGTTTTTATATTTTGTGATAATGGTCGAGGTAAATTTAAAAGCTAAATGAGAGAAGGTACGAGTAGCATTTTATGCAAAATTGTTTTCGAAGTGACATGATCATGGATAAAATAACTAAGTTTCTGACAAAGAACTCTTTTCGCAAACATATTAGCCAACATAAAAACAATCTACGCACGATTTGAAATATATTCAATACTGAGCGAGTCATTCAATTTTTTTAATCAATAATTACTTCACACAATTATGTAAAAAAAAAATATTCAAAATTATAAATCATTAATTTAACCATTATTTAAAATTATCTCTTGCAAAATGCAGCAGATTTGCTCATGACAATACATGAGTCCCTCCCTCCCACCGAATCCATCCAGCTCAGTATTGGAACAATGCAAGTATTTCATAAAATGATTGGCGCTGTCATACGCTACGGACCGACGATAGGCCTAAATGGATTGTGGTTGAATGAAATGTGAAAACCACGCTTTTTGCGTAATTCGAGGCAAAAATTGATATGGTAAAGAAAAAAAAAATCTCCTTTTTGTAAAAGAAAAATAAAGCACTTTTTAAAAACACCCAATAAAAAAAGCACCTTTAAGCACTTTTTGAAAACGCTACGCACCCTAGTTATTTTGTAATTAATGTTTAAAATTGCTCGATTAGCCACGCCCCCTAAAACGAGTGAAAATAAACCTTATTTTACTATCTGGGATAGTTATATTCGAGAAAAAGTTTACTTACCAGCTAAGACTTAGGCCATCTGAACTAGCTTCCTGAAATTATGAAGAAGAAAAAAAAAGTAAATAAATGCTTTGAGTAATAAAAGAATATTTTATAATCAAAGAGTGACTTTTTTTAAAAAACTTAACACATAACATATCAACACTTAATATATACCTATTTTAACCATAGCCGATCAAATAACCGGACTTTATATTGATTGAATGTTGGATGGGTCTGTCCAGACATTTTGTGAAAGGTCCGGTTTTTGTGAAATTGCGAAAAAAATTACTCGTATTTTTTGAACCAGGGTCCTGCTTTTATGAATTTGTGCAAATAGGGTCCGGTTATTGCAAAAAACTTTTTCAAGGAGTTTTTAAATTGTAAATAGTTACAAGATTATGCTCAGCACTTTTAAATTAGAGATGCAACATGCAAATGTTTGGTATTTAGCCTATACTGCTGAACGCAGAATATTCATTTCGGTCGAATATTGGAAGATGCGGAAGACAAAACTTATTCGTTTACATTCATCTTTATTCCCCTTCCCCCCCTTGGGAAGGGTTTATTCGATTAACAAAACAATAATGAAGATAAACAAACTTGTGAAGGGTCCAAGTATAAGAAAAATCATTTTGTGAAGGGTCCGTTTTTATGAAAAGATATTTTGAGAAAGACCCAAATTTCTTCTCAACAGACCTATGTTCAGTATATATGTTTATTATTGAAAGTATCTTTCAGAAATATATTATTGCTAGAGTTTAGTCACAGATAGCTCGAAAAAATTTCTGCCACAGGATTTTAAGATAAATCCACAAAAAAGATGCTACATAAAATAGAAAATATTAAAAGTGATTGATTATAATTTAGAAAAATGAACTCACCTCCTCGCTGGATGAGGACTGCCTCCGCCGTGAGGGTCCAGCTGCCAGGTACCTTAAAAAGACAAAAATATTGATGAAAAAATTGTGCTTGAAAATCAGGGGCTTAGTTTAAAGGGGGACCATGAAGTTACAATTTTTCATCAGGGTGTGTAGCCAGATTTTTCAACAAAAAATAAGTACCTTTTCAATCGCTCAAAAAATAATTTTAATCACTTCACTGTGGGACCAGAAGATCATGATCTTTGGCCAAAAGTCAAAAATTAAATTTTCAACTAAAATATGTTTAGGCAGTTTTAATATATCCCAAATTAAGTATTCATCATCATTCCAAACATTATAATTTACTTTTTGGACCGACAAGAGTACAATNAGTATCTTTCAGAAATATATTATTGCTAGAGTTTTGTCACAGATAGCTCGAAAAAATTTCTGCCACAGGATTTTAAGATAAATCCACAAAAAAGATGCTACATAAAATAGAAAATATTAAAAGTGATTGATTATAATTTAGAAAAATGAACTCACCTCCTCGCTGGATGAGGACTGCCTCCGCCGTGAGGGTCCAGCTGCCAGGTACCTTAAAAAGACAAAAATATTGATGTAAAAATTGTGCTTGAAAATCAGGGGCGTAGTTTAAAGGGGGACCATGAAGTTACAATTTTTCATCAGGGTGCGTAGCCAGATTTTTCAACAAAAAATAAGTACCTTTTCAATCACTTAAAAAATATTTTTAATCACTTCACTGTGGGACCAGAAGACCATGATCTTTGGCAAAAAGTCAAAAATTAAATTTTCAACTAAAATAAGCGTAGGTAGATTTAGTATAGCCCAAATTAAGTATTCATCATCATTCCAAACATTATAATTTACTTTTTGGACCGACAAGAGTACAATGTAATGAAAAATTTATATATTTTTTTAAATGTAACATTAAAATTTGTATTTCAGAAATATATATAGGAATTTCACCTTACTGTAACATTTTTATCAGAGTAATTAGTCTGAAATGATAGTACAATTTTTCAATGTGTTGGATTAGTTAATACTCTTGACAAACTTACAGTTCATATCTTATCATTTGACATTTTACAATGTTTGAATGACTTTCGAAACTTTGTTCCAAAAAGTTCCACGAGATAATTAGCTAAACTTTTTTTACTTGTCTTCTTTGATGTTTCTTCTTTCGAAAAAAACCTGCCCCATTTTGCCCGTATTGCAAAGGTGGACTAAATATACCGAAAAATAAAAAGTATGTTTTTTTTTCTTCTTCATATTTTCGCGTTATTTTGTAATATTACTTCGGAAATATAATTTGCTTTTCATTTTTAATGTAAAATTACAAAAATTATTATATTTTCATCATTATATTTAATTATTTAAACGTACTATATTATTTTCTTTTATTTTTGCTCGCCATACTTAAGTCGCCATTTTGTTTTTTGGGGTATTTTTAGTGTATTTCAAAATTACAACTATAAAATCAATTTACCTGCACATAAAAAACCCTTAAATTTTGAAACAAATTTTGTCGAAATACTAATTTTGGTCACGAAACCTCGGATAATAGCCCCCTTAGCACTTTCCAAGAAAAAAACAAACAAAAAAGATAATTAGGATCTGTGCAGTAAGAAACAATTTTTTTTTTCAATTAAAGTCCTTAGTTTAAAAACATAAAATAAATAAAATTTAAAAAAACTTTGCATAATCATGATAAAAATCAACTAGTTTCTGATATAATTATTGCAGTGAGAATTTTTATATCATTATGATATAACCGTCGTTGAACAGCCGACAAAATATTTAGGGTTTACGAACTACTAATGTTCAACTTCGTAGCCTTGTGATTTTGAACCCACTCCAGAAGACAAGGAAACTCCTTTATCAATAACCCCAGAGGTATGATTTGTAATGGGAACGTGGAGGACTTTGTGACAAGACAGATTTAACGTGCATCAGTCTCCATTTTCTACACGAGGAGTCTTCGGCAGGCGGGGATCGAAACCATGACCTCTCGTACAGGGGCAAAGTTCCCTACAGCCAGGCTATTCTGGTCGTTTGCAGAGAAAATTGTGAAAATCGTAAAATAAGCACTTCTTTCTTAAAAGATAGAAAAATAAGCACTTTTTACAAACCACGAATAAAATAAAAAAAGGAACATCTAAGGGTTTTTCAAAAACGCAAATCAAAAATAAACACATTTTAAGAACGTTACGCACCCTGACTTTTATAGTGTGATGATTAATTTAAAATCAGAGAAGGTACTTGAGTGGCATTTTAAGAAATTTAGGAATATCAGACGGAATTTTTATCAAGAACACTGGGAGGATAGCCAGTTTGGTAGGGCACTGGACCCATGCCCATGAGGTAATGGGTACGATGCCCGCTGGCCGACTGATGCACGTTAAATCTGTCGAGTCACCAAGTCCACCATGTTCCCATAATAAACCATGCGTCTGGTCCTATTGATCCAGGAGTTTCCTTGTCTTCTGGATTGAGTTCAAAATGACAAGGCTACGGAGTTGAACATTAGTAGTCGTAAACCCAAAAATTGGGTCAGCTGTTCAACAACGCATACAAAATAAAATAGAACGCAGTTTTATTGTTTTTAAGCGGTTCGCACTTCTTTACGTTCGTGTATCAATTGGTAGACATTGTAATGCAATACGGTAAAAATAAACATAAATCTGAACTATATAAAAATCTCCTGAATAAAAAACCGTTACATGTATGTTTAAATCGTATAAACCTATAAACGGTCAAATAGTTTCTAAGGCAGAAAATTTCAAAAAAGATTGTTTTTAAATTTTCCTTCTCCAAACTAGTTCAAAATTTAGCTACAAATATGTATTTTATCATTCAAAATTACACAGTTTAAAATAATGTAAAAATCTGCATGCAATAAGCTTTGACCAATGCAAAATAATAATTATTTCTGTACATGGGATTATTTTTCAATTATCGTTGTTTTGCTTGTTTATAAAATGCAAAGTAGTATAAGAATTAAAATTCAAAATTTTTTTTACTTACTTGGCACTGGGACCAGCGGAACTCTCACAGTCCTGAAAGTATAAAAAAAAGTAAATAAAAACACGCTTCTTAGAGAAATAAAAGAACATTTTATAGTAAAATACCTTTTTAACCCCTTAACACTTAAAAAAGGACCAAAAATAGAAATTTTTTTTTTACTTTATTTTGTTCTTTATAGTACTATAATAGTTAGAAAACGGTTTCTTATTGCAAAAATAAAATTACAGGGTGCGTAGCCAAATTTTTCAACAAAAAATAAGCACCTTTTAAGTACTTCCTATGCACTCAAAAAATATTTTTAAGCACTATATACTAGGGGTCTGTCCAGACATTTTGTGAAAGGTTCGTTTTTGTAAAATTGTGAAGAAATGACTCGTAATTTGTGAATATAAAATAAACGTTAAGTCACATTTTTCAACCAGGGTCCGCTTTTGAGAATTTGTGCAAATAGGGTCAGTTATTGTTGAAAAAATTTTTCAAGGAGTTTTTAAACTGTAAAGACATACAAGATTATGCTCAACACTGTAAAATTATAATTAAAAAAATTAAATTNAACTAAAAGAGAAAACAATCAATTTAATATTTTATCCCCTTAACATTTTTTAATCATGCAAATTTTATAACTCATGGATGATCTCTTTCTAAGGATTTAATTTTTTATAACGAACATTTGTTTTATAATTTATTCTTTTATTTTTATCTTTTATTCACTCGTTCTCCGGTCTTTAATGATGGAATCGAAAATGAGTGATAGTAGATAGATTTTCAATCGTTTCTACATTATTGCAAACATAGTAATTACATTCATAAGACATTTTTATAAGTGTGAGCCATAATAGTTATGAGTCAAATGAGGCGAACCGGGTTCGAATCCCAGGCGATACGAATTCCGCATCCGGCTTGCACCGAGCACAATGCTGACGTGAAATATCCTCAGTAGTAGACTGACCATGGGTTATAGCCCCCTTGCCGTCAGGCTAACTGTGGGGGTTTCTCGTGGTCTTCCTTTCCATGTAACACAAATGCGGGTTAGCTCCATCAAAAAGTCATCCACGAAAGTAAATTTCTCTCAATACTCGATCCAAGAGTCTTCTGGATTGGGTTCAAAATTTTAAGGCTACGGAGTTGAACATTAGTAATTGTAAACCCATAAAATTGGGTCGGCTGTTGAACGACGATTATAAAATAGTTATGAACGAGGGCTGAGATAGCTTGGTTGGTAGGGCACTGAGCCCATGTCCAAGAGGGCGTGGGTTCGATCTCCGTTAGCCGAAGACTCCGAGTGTAGTAAATGATGACTGACGTTAAATCTGTCGAGTCACAAAGTCCTCCATGTTATCATAACTAACCCACCTCTGGGGTATTGCATTGTGAAAACGTTGAATAGAACAATGTGAAAACCAAGCTATTGCATAATACGTGGCAAAAAACGACATGGTAAGAAAAAAAATCTCATTTTCGAAAAAGAAAATTCAAGCACTTTTTAAAAATACCCAATAAGAAAAGCACATTTAAGGGCTTTTAAGAAACGAAAATTGAAAATAAGCACCTTTAAGCACTTTTTAAAAGCGCTACGCTCCCTGCTAACCTCCTTGTTATCATAGTAAATATTTTCGATGCACAATGCTATAAAATGACAAAGAAAAATACGTTTTTCCTTCAAATTTCTTCAAATAAATAAATAAATAAATAAATGTTAAGGCATGTACAATTGTGAACCTTCATGGGACCGAAATTTCGGTTCGCTGTAACCGGAGTTCACTATATTCGTTCTTCAAAAAATGATTAAGAACTCCTTTCTTTTATTGCACATTATTTAAATAAATGACCCATAAAATGAAATATAAAAATGACTAAAAAATATTATTTAGTAACAAAAAATGTGTTAATTTGCTTTTATTTTTTATTACTCTTAGTCTTGTGTACAGAAAAAAAAAATGAGTAATCTTTAGCTGATGCAGAGAAAAAATTTAATTAGTCCATACATGTGCCTGGGTAGGCCTTTGTTTAAAGATGGAAAAGTGTGATAAAAGAAGTAAACAAGAGAAAATGCTTATCGCTACATTACACTCTATAGACGGTTTTAAAAATCAGTATTAAGTATTTTTTCTGTGAAGAAGACATTTCAAAATTATTTAAAAAAAAGGAGGAAAAAAAATAGTCGAAGACAGAAAAAAGTTCATAATAACCAACTTCCTCACTTTTTTAGTTCACTATATCCACAAATAATTACATTATACGTGTATAGAAAGACACGGGACAGAACATTTCGTTCACTATATCCGGGAGTTCACTATAAACGTTGTACTCTATAGCGGGGTTTGACTGTATTTTCTTCCCTAAATGAATTTAATAAGTTTTCTTCACAAAACTTATGTAATCATCTTAACATTTTTCAATTCCAAAATAAAAAAAAATATTTGCAATACAGTAGAGTCCCGATAATCCGAGTTTACGCTTTAACCGAGCTATCAAATATTTTAAGAATTTATTTGTTCTAGTTTATTTTTAAAAATACCGCCGAAAAATAAATCTGAATTTTATCTTCCAATCACTCGGGAAAACAAAATCTAACAACTTGATCCCATGAAATGATCGTCAATATCGTCAATAATGAAAATGAACCTAGCGAAGATGAGTGAAGATGAGAATCAACATATAAAAATCTCTCACAACTGTCGAAAATGCTACTGAATACATAGAACAACAAAAAGAGGCGACACCAGCCTTCCTGTTATCCCTAAAAAATGATGAAACATTGCTGCAGAAAAGCACCAAAGTTATATAAAACAAAAAACGATTAAGGACTTTTTTTAAGTAAAAACTCTTTAAATATATGTGGTATATTCGAAAAATTTTATATTTCTTAAATATATTACATTTATACCAACTCTTTTTCTTTCTTTTTTTATACTCTTCGTTTTAACCGAGTTTTTCAGTTATCCGAGTTAGTTGTGGTCCAAATTAACTCGGATAATCGGGACTCTACTGTATAAGTAATGTTCAAGAAAGGAGAGTCAAGCTTTTTTCTTTTCTTTTATGGTTAATTGCAATTCAATCAAAAAAAGTGATGCAATTAAACAAGCATTCGGTAAAATGTCATCTAAATCAAGGCCAAAGATTGAAACTTGAGGACTGGGCGGGGCGAAGGAAGAAAAGGGGAGTGGTTCCCTCTACGTAAATAACTCCTCTAAGGTTATTAGAGGAGTGATTTACGTAGAGAGAACCACTCCCCCTTTCCTTGACACAAAGAACATTGTCACGTGATGCCACATTATAGATGATTTTCCATGACTAATTCGAAGAGTTTTTCATGATTAATGAAGTTACTATTTTCTCCGACAAAAACACAACAATAAATTTAAAAACATTATAATAACATTCATTGAAATGATAGGCATAACCAAAACTGTACTCTGCATCTTCATATTTATAGATTTTAAAATTAAAAAACAGAGTAAAAGAGTTATAACAAGTTATAGTTGAAAAATATACAAAAGCAAATAATTTTTTTTTTTCGCTGCAGAATTATATTCTAAAGATACTTTTCTTGTTAATCGGAAAGGAAAGAAATACTCCCGATTTTTCTGTTCTCTTTTCGGAATTAAAAAAAAAAAACAAAATTGACAATGATGGGCTTGCTTCACAGCTAGAATTTTAAATTGATAAAATAAAAAAATAAAAAAAACGAAAATTCTGAAATCACTGAAGTTCAAAAGATAATTCGCTCTAGAAATGTTTTTTTCTTTCATTTTTTGTAAGAACACCATAATTTTTAAAGAACAGGAAAAAAAATTATACTTTAATTAAATATAACTGTTTGGTTACAAATTCAGATATTCGGAACATGAAATAGGGGGGGGGGTAAATTCCATTTTAGAAATAAGGTTTTTCGGCGACCTAAATTCATTACTTACTATGATTTTTTTTTTAAAAAATCGTTACAAATCATGCCATTTCATGACAAATTTTGTTCAATGCCGAAATTCATGACTTTCCAGGTGCGCAGATACACCTACACATGATTCCCGGACGATTTTCGCTCTTGTAAACCCCATCCCCTGTATCTTCCAATGACGGTGGACTGCTGAGCTTTGTTTTAAACAATAAAAATAGTCGAATACTGCTGTGCATACTGATATGAAGAAAAATTCATAAAATGAGGACTTTTTACATTTCACAATTAAGATTTTTATTCTTTTACATTAACTTTTGAACATTTATTTGCAATTTGTACGTTAGCACGTGAGGTTATTTAATGAATTAAATTGGTTTTTAACTAGCAAAATAGCTATTATTTTTTTACATTTTTATTTAAATTAATAGATCATAATGTAGTTAACATTTGTAGGTATTTTTATAACAATTTAAATTTCATATTGACATAAATATTCTGACATTTTTACTGTTTTTTCGATGAAGCAAGTGCATCGGAATTGGCGCATTTTTTTTCCGGCCAATAAATAGCTTTTTATTTTCGCTCTATTACTTACATTGATGCGTTGAAATAATTTTTCCTTAATAATTTCAAGCGAATTTAATTATATATTTCAGTTGTACAAACTAAAAAATATATATTAAAGTACATTTCATGTAATAAAAAAATTTTTGGATCAAAAATAAAATTATTTTTTAATAAATTCGGTTAATAAATAAAATTTATAAGCAGAAGAATATATTTTCTTCACTATTTAGAAAATTACTTCATTATATAGGAAAAATTGGTTGGATATTCATATTTATTTAGGAAATTTTATATTTATTACTTTACATTTATTATCCAGGAAAATATTAACTAGCTTATTATACGGTCTATTATTGATAATAGGTTCTGTTATTAACTAATTATTATAGGTTGTCAAAAGTATGGCTATTTATTATAATTATATGTATTTTATTTTGATTTCTGAAAATAAAAAGGGAATAATTCTCTTTTTGATTATCAATATATTTTTTTTAATGTAAAATGTTATTTAAGTCGAGAACTATCAATGTTTCAAACAACAAATATATAGCTATAAGCAATTTTGCAATCCTTTTTTTAAATAAAGAGACAAATAACAAAACCAAAATATGTTATTTTAGTTTAAATACTTTTATCATTTCATGTTAATTCACTAAATTTTTTCATCATTATACGTAATCTCAGTTAAAAAAAATTATGCATTAAAATTAGTTATAATCGCGTAATTTATATCTTCGGTTCACTTAGGTTTTTATCTTAGATTCAAAATGAAAATCCTTAATTTTATTTCTTTGTTTGGTGAAATCATATTTAACTAGTGTTATTAGCTTTTAATAATTAAGCAATTAAAAGTAAATAATTAAAATTAATGCGCATATTATAATGTATTTCGATTTAAAAACTTCAAAGTGTTCATTATGTTTTTTAAATGCTTGCACATAACCGTAGATTGTCTTGCACGCAATCTAAATGATTCATTCACTATCTATGTAAAATTGAAGACTAGAGAGCCTCAAATCATATTTAATATATGAACTTGTGAATTCGGTATATGATGCAGTTTACATTCTCCAACAAACACCACTATACCCATCCGAAAATGTTAACATTGATCTCGATTGGTTGTTCAGTCATCAAAAGAATTTACACAGAGCTGCATTTAAATATGTCTGCGAAATTGTGTACCGAGGAGTTCAGGATTAATAGTTAAAGATGTCCAAGATGAAAACACAATAGTTTCTCTTCCAAAAAATATATAGACAACAACCATTTTGTCAATGGGTAAAATGTCACAATTTTCTTCATTTTGTAGTGAATCGTANTCATGTAATAAAAAAATTTTTGGATCAAAAATAAAATTATTTTTTAATAAATTCGGTTATTAAATAAAATTTATAAGCAGAAGAATATATTATATAAGAAGAATATATAAGAAATCAGTTTACTAAAAATAATAATGCATACAGACTTTTTAAGTTTTCAGGGTTGCCACAGAAAAAAAATGGATGAAATAGTTACTTTTAGTAGCCTAAAGCATGAAAATAGTTGCCTTAAACTATGAAAATAGTTACCTAAATAAGAATAAAAATTCATCACAAACATGACTAAAATTTAATTAATGACTTAATTGCCATATACCATGATCCATTTAGTCAAGTTGGTGGCAAATATGATAATTTTTATATAAACGTTAATGTTCTAGAACAATTTTCCCTTTTATCAATAATTTATCTAAGTGTATGTATATATATATACATACATATTGTGAAAAGTGATTACTTAAATTCGAAATTCATGCATCGTAATATTGTATTAAATTTTTTTTATTATTTTTAAATTATGCGGAATTTCGAAACAATAACCATTGAAAATGCGACCGAGAAACGAAATAGACTTACGAAGGAAGATTCTGCAGATTGAAAGAATTAAAAAGTGAAGACTCAAATTTGCAACATTTGCACACTCAAAATTTTCAATTTTTTTTTATGAAATAACAATTTGATACTTATGATAAAGTGGTCAAAAAAACTTACCTCAGTTTGAGTGGCAACCGAGCTGCTGGGAGGTGGAACCTCTGGTAGGTATCTTATACGTCTGTTCATTTTTTACAACAGTTTTTCAACCTAAGTAAATTATACAAAACAATATTAACAATTACAATTTTCTCATAATTTCGAATATTAATATTTATTTTATTCATCAAAGATANTTTAAAAATTAATTTAAGAAGAGAGTTCTGAATAAAAATAAACTGAACATTTTAGAACAAAAAAAGTCCCGCAGTGGTCAAGATCATTAAACACGGTTCCCAACAGATCACCGAAGTTAAGCAGCATTGCTTGCGGTCAGAGTGAGCGAGGGTGACCACTTGCGTCAGTCTGCGTAGGGACCGAGGGTATGCGGTATGGGTCCTCGTTTAACTGCTCTACTGTAAAGTGCTCGACTTCGCGTGTAGGCCGTTGGACTACCGAAGAGGGGATGCCATCCTCTCTTCAGAGGATCAAAATTGTGATGGCATGATGTCTTCGGATCATCCTCAAGGATGTTTCTCAGACCGTCGCCAATAGCCCATTGTGCAGCTCTAGTGCGACGTAAATGAATTACGAAGCAACTACGAAAGCTTTGAACTGATTTTAATAAATGAGGCTCGCTTCATTATGTATTAGTAATACTCATTTTAATATTCAAGCAATAATCTGTACAGAAATCCTATTTCAATAGGGATTTTTTCTTTTCTTCAGAAAACTTTTTCTGAATTTTAATTAAACCAGTGATCAGGCGAAACTGGCAAAATCCAGTAGAGTTGGCAGCTATGTTGGATATAATTTTTAAATATAATTTCGACAGTCGCATTTTGGTGATTTAGAAAAAGTCAATCCCATGACGGAAGATAAGAAATTATGAAGCATTTTTTATGAGCTTTTCGGAGAAAACACAGGGGTCTGTCCAGACATTTTGTGAAAGGTCCGTTTTTCGTGAAATTGTGAAAAAATGACTCACATTCTTTCAACCAGGGTCCGCTTTTATGAATGTGTGCAAATAGGGTCCATTTATTGCAAAAATAAAATTTTTTCAAGGAGTTTTTAAATTGTATAGACATACAAGATTATGCTCAACACTGTGAAATTGTAATTAAAAAAATTAAATTAAAAAAAACAACAACAATTGCTGTTTCTAAATTAGAAATGCAATATACAAATATTTGGTATTTAGCCTATACTGCTGTACGCAGAATATTAAATTAATCAAGAGAAAACCGATTTCAGTCGGTAAAAAACAATCACTCGAAAGTTAAGATTTTATCTAGACTCTTGGGGGCCAGGGACTGTATACTATATTTTTTTAAATCTATTTTTCTATAATTTCAGCTAAATGTTTCGTCTTAAAATAAAAAAAATAAAAAAACAGGTTTTTCAATATATTATTTGTTGAATATCCGCTCTGTTTGAATAATGAATTAATCATAATTGATACAAAACTGAAAGGAATCTATTTTAACAACCATAGAAGTTGACCAAAGAATTCTTTCAAACAAAAGTGAGAAAGATTATCCCACGAATTAAGTCGATCCAATGTTTATTTCAAATTAAATAAACTAGAAATTCGAAACTAAAGTAAGTGAACATCCATTCGAAACTACGAGTTGTTGTTGAAAGGGAGTGGCGGAATGTTCTCGAAAAATTGCTGATAAGGAAATAAAAAAGAAAGATGTGTGCTTCATTAATTCACATCTCGGCAAGCTTGGCATACTAATTAGATAACGGATCAACTGAAAGCATTGCATGTTTGACTTTTTCTATTTTAATAGACCTTGAGATTATTTCGGGAAAGAGTTATCGAATGAAACAAAAAATTGCGTCTTGAGACCAACATGGATTGTGGTTCAATAAATTGTGAAAACGTTGAATAGAAAAATGTGAAAAACACGCTTTTGCATAATACGCACAGAAAATCGACGAGGTAAGGAAAAAATATTTTTCGAAAAGGGAACATGAAGCTCTTTTTAAAAACACCCACAATAAAAAAAGCACCTTAGAGGGCTTTAAAAGAAGAACGAAAATTGAAAATAAGCATCTTTACAGAGGTGATTGTGAGCCCAACTCAAAAATCCTGAATCTTTCTTGAATAAAATCATGAATGACGCATTTTAAAAAATTAATGAATATACAAATTTAAATTATTGAAAATTTCAAGTCATGAAATTCTAAATCAATTATATGCAGCATAATTCAAATGGATAATTATTACTTTCATGTCTATTACTTTTATTCTACCAGAAAAAATATTTACAAATGAAAGCGATGCCAAGTATAAATGCTAGATCTAATATTTCTAAATAAAATATAGAAGAAATTTTATACATAAATGTGACCGATGATTTCTTGAAACTTTTTGGCCTTGGAGTCCCGAAAACTTCCGGATCGCGGATAGCGAAAAATCTGGAAATCCGGATTTT